GACGTTTCTGATTTGCGATGGTGGCTATGAAGTGGGCACTTCATTAACCGACAGAAAGCAGCGCGATTTTAACGAGGAGTGACGGCGGCTGGATGGACGTTAATAAGGTATGAGATGATCTCCGCTGTGACGATTCTGATGGGAAATAAGCCATCAAATTAGTGGCCCATAAATATCACGAAATTTCCCAGCAGCGGTTGTTTGTAAAAGAAAAATCATCGCGAAAACGTCCCAGCTGTACAGATCATCATAACCAGGCAAGCTATAAATCCTGGCCACGGGATTTAGTTTCCTCTTCAATTCGAACGAGGGAGGGGGGGGGGGGGAGCTGCAATCCCTCAAATTGGAGGTTCCATAATTTTCCCCCTCCGGCACCCTCCCCCAACTAATTTTGAGACTACAGACTACCCGCGACCGCACTCATCATGTGCTCGACGGATCGAGCAACAAGCCGGCAATCTCTGGCGACATTTATGCTGCACCTTGCACTACGAGTCTCCTACTCGCTTTGCCATCCAACACAAGTGAAGACTACCAACTCGACGGCCCGCCAAGCGGTGCGGCTCAGCTTGCGTGATCGCTCAGCTCTGGTTGAGTGTCCTAGGTTCGTCATATCTGGTGAAAAATGACGAGGTCCAGAGTGGACATGCTTCCCCGGGTTGAGGTGCTGTTTCGGAGCTGGTGTGAATCGGCGATATTGAATGCATACTCTGTTTCGAGGCTGGTGCAAATCAGCGATATCGAATGCATACTCTGTTCCGAGGCTGGTGTGAATTGGCGGTATCGAATGCATACTCTGTTCCGAGGCTGGTGTAAATCAGCGATATCGAATGCATATTATGTTCCGAGGCTGGTGTAAATCAGCGATATCGAATGCATACTCTGTTCCGAGGCTGGTGTGAATTGGCGGTATCGAATGCATACTCTGTTCCGAGGCTGGTGTAAATCAGCGATATCGGATGCATATTATGTTCCGAGGCTGGTGTAAATCAGCGATATCGAATGCATACTCTGTTCCGAGGCTGGTGTGAATCGGCGGTATGAAATGCATGCTAAAAAAATTAGAACATCTGTCAAGCTACTGCTCAAAAACAATAAGAACTAACGCCGAAATGAAGGTGAGATTTAGAGTGGGAACACAGCAACACACCTCAGAACAGAGCCAGACGAGTGAAAAGAAAACAGCAGCGCTCTGGAGAGTGGCGCCACCGTTTCACCAGACACCCCGTCCCCAGTTCTAGCAAACGAAACTTTCTATTATCGCTCTCAATCGCAGCCTTCATTTCCAGGAGAAGTAGGCCGCAACATCAGCTGGCGCGGCCACATTTAAAACATTCCCCAAGAGCACAACGCAGTAAGAAAGAAATTTACCAGCGTCACGCCAGTTTAGGTCGCCGGCGCTGCCAAGAGTAAAAATACACGGAGGCGGAATCTGCGGGACGAAGGTGCCTGGCGAAAACCGGCAGGTTGATGCCCCGCGGCGACCACCTGCCAGGCACCTCCGAGGCGGGGATTTCCTACCGCGCCGGCGAAACAAAATCAAAGCAATTAGGCGGTCGGTCCCTCGTCGCCTTGGACGTGCCCAGCGCGTCGACGGACGTCGACGAAAAGCAGGGAAAACGTCGACACCGACGGACAACGTAAATAAACATAGCCGCCGGCGGGCAGGGAGCTGGCAGGCACACTTTGGTGGAAGACAGGCAGATTTGTAAGCCGGGCTGAGGGGCCCGCGACCTCGGGGCCAAGACGACGGTGATTTGTGTTGCAAACAGCAGATTTGCACGTCAGCGCGGCAAGTTATGCCACGTGGCCGGGTCAACACACCTGCAACTGGCCCAGACAGGACCGAGGCATAAATCGGCGGATACAAATCGCCTCCTTCCAGAAACCCTTTCATGAGAGCAGAATAAATGCTCTAATGGGGATTAACAGGCAACGTCTCGCGAGTGATGGCCCCTGCGTGCAGGTGCTTGTGTGAAGCGGGTGTGCCAGCGGCGCACCGCGGTGACTCAAGCCCAACGCCAGCCAGCACCGCGAGGGTCCTCGTCTCGAATGCCCGTCATTGGAACTCCGCGGGCATACAAACGCCTCATTAACTTTGTCATGGGACTGGAGCACCCGATTGGGCTCCCGTGTAACTGAGCGGGTCGAAGCAGAGTGTCACCAAGAACGGGATGAGGAGGTAAAGACACGCTCCCGTACCCGCCAGCAAAGTTTGAAAGGATTCATTCCACCTCACTTATTTGCCCACACTAAACAGAAACACAGTTCAAATATCGCGTCAGTTAACCGGAGGCCTGACCGTTCCGCCCCGGTCCTGGCTGCGCCTGACCCTGGAGTGTAGCAACCTCTTTAAAAGCGCAACAGTCATGAGAGCAGTCACCTCGAGAGCCACAACACACGTGCTCCATCCGACGGGCTGTGAACCCACCGCGAGCAGAGACATTTCACTGCGACCAAGCTCGGCTCCGCCCACGTTCTCGCCGCGACGATCCGTGGCCGAGGTTCACGGGCTGGCAGGTGCGCCTGCGGCTTGGTTCGCAGCGCGATGCAATCCCAGGCGAATGGCCCAAAGTGAAGACATGAAACCGAGCTTACGCCGAAAATCGCGGTTGCATGCAAATCGCGGGGAGTTTGGCTTTCAGTTATCTGCATCTGCACCCCCCCTCGCCCCCGTGCCACTTAAATGCGTTCCTGTCCACTCGGACCACCTCGACTGGCTGTTCAGCAAGCCGCAAGCCACCGCAGCGCCCGCTCAAAGGTCACCGCATGACAAGCGAACGCCAGCCCAGGATCCCGCAGTCCGATCAGAGAGCGTACGCCGCCCATGCCAGGCGCGTGATTCGCTGCGAGCGTGCGCCGCTTCCGCGAGTGGCGAAGCGCGCCGCCCCGGCGCCCTGCGACGGTCCGCGCGGCCGGCCGGCCCGCCCTCTCCACGACCTGTCCACCCACTCCCCGTGCGGCCCACTCCGCGGGCACGTTCTGGAGCTGGCAGTGTCTGCGCCGATGGGGAGCGCACGTTTCAGGCCGGGAAGACCCAATCCCAGTCCGTGAAGCCGACGCGAGCAGTCGACCACCGCTTCAGAAGCCTGGAGCCTGCGGCTGTCCACGCCCAGCGTCTTAATCTCCGATTTACGGCCGGTATCCCAATAACTCTGCAATGGCATGGGAGCCATAAATATCCAATGCAACTCACCACGTGCGTATGCGAACGTGGGACCACCGCCTGCGGTCGACATTAAATCACGGCCAAAAACGAGCGCGCGGAGGCCCCCCGATGCCAAGCAGTAAGCAGGTAAGTGGACTTCACCAGCCGCTCCCTTGAGAGCAGACGCCGAGGAGGAACGCGACAGCAGCGCAGCCCCCATTGGTTCGCCGCGTTTCGTTCAGCAGCTGGGGTTCCTCTTGCGACTTGCGATCACAGAAAGCTGTGACCATGCATTTGCTTTCAGCGCGTATCACAAGTGTACCAATAGAATTGCCGCTTTCCGCAAGACGACGGCATGTGCCGTATACGCCACACGCTCGTCAGATGTGATTTCCGCAAGTGTTTACCTTACATCGATCTCATCCCATCCCATCTTCACGGCCACGAACCAAACATCGGCATCCAAACACACTGCGCACCGATTGAAAGTTGGCTCAGGGAGAGCGGGGTGATCCATAACTTCCACACATGTGGACATCAAGCTTACGTCAATTGTACTGATCATGTAACCATAGAACTGTTCGAGATCCTGGATCCACCCTTGGGATCCAGGAATATGTTTGATCGTGGGCGCGGTATCCACGCTGCGTTCCCCGGCGATAAAACACCATCGCCTTCCCAAGAAACAAAAACTCAGCAGAAGTTTCTGATATTTTACGCACACCAGGAGCTGCCGCAGAAGAACCAGGTGGCAAGACGTCGGGTCCGACGCCTACTTCGCCAAGTTTGTAGCGGAGCGTCGCCGCGAATATTCGGCTGAGGGAGGGTCCACCGGAGCGTCGCCGCGAATATTCCGCTGAGAGAGGGTCCATCGGAGCGTCGCCAAGAATACTCCGCTGAGGGTGGGTCCACCAGAGCGCCGCCGCGAATATTCCGCTGAGGGAGGGTCCAGCGGAGCGTCACCGCGAATATTCCGCTGAGGGAGCGTCCACCAGAGCGCCGCCGCGAATATTCCGTTGAGGGAGGGTCCACCGGAGCGTCGCCACGAATATTCGGGTGAGGGAGGGTTCATTGGAGCGTCGCCGCGAATATTCCGCCGCGGGAGGATCCATCGGAGCGCGTATCCCTGCGGTGGCGCACAGAAAGCTCTATATCCGTCCCGGTATGCCGTCGTTGTCCACTGATGTCGTAGCAGCTGGAAGGCGGACGACGCCGAATGGTGGAAGGCCGTTGGACGGTCACCAGTCACAGATCCGGCGTGCTTTCGCTGCTGGTCGTTGAATACTTGTTCGTCGGTGATTCAGCGGGCGTTGGCGATCGACGAACGAGGACAAACTTCCGTGGCTTGCAGACTTTTCCCGGCTGACGGCTTCTCAGAAAGTCCCGCAGCCTACAGCCGAGTGGTGTACGCGCGGGCGTACTGTGACCCGGACCGTAGGCAGCGAGAAGGTTGTGACGTCAGGTCATGTCGGCGGCGCGGACGCGTCAGACGCCGCCAGCTTACCTCCAACGTCTCCAACAACGCCGTCATTACTCGCCTCCCGGGGCGCGTCCCTCACGTACCTGTTACGTCGAAGACGCGGTCACCCCAGCGTCACAACGCTTGAATGACACCGGCAACCGGACTTTTCACATCAGCCTACCTTTCAGGACGTGCGATGATCTTTAGGACTACGACGATGCGTGATTGGATCTATAGCTACCATCAGACGTTTTCGCCAACAGCAGCTGGTAGCACCACCTCATCCATCATCGTCGTCGCAAGGATCGGCGTCAGCATCAGCATCACCAGCAGCCGTCGACATTATCACCATCTCTTACCACTGCCTTGCCGACCTCGTCTCCCGCTTACCTTCGAGTACGAACAGGACACTGCCGATGTCGCCCTCCTTGATGATGAGCGAGGTACGCTTGTATTCCACCGGGTACATGCACTCGACGATCTCCTGGATCTGGTCATTCTGCAGGTTCTTCATGAAGTCGTTCTCCAGTATGGCATGTTTGATGAGCGCCTTAGACCTGACGAATGACAACGCTGTTGTCATTTGATGCTATTTATGAAGACCCGGCGATTAGTAGCATCATCGAAAACCAGATCGACAAGGACTTTGGGATTTCACATTTGTTTGCTTTTTTCTGTACACAAACTCAATAACGAACACCCGCAGACATAAGTAGCCGACTGCAGTGCGCATACAAAGACACATTTATCTCACTGGCCTGCGTCACCGGTTGAGAATCATCGGCGAAGTCGTATAAGGCCACCATTCATCAATCAACACATCCATAACGATGTAACATAACGAGCAACGTCTGTTCGCACATCGGTCCAGTGAAATCACAAACAAATTTATCTGTTTATCATCCGAAGACCTGGCGAGTTTGTCCACTTTCTCTGCACACACATCCTTGTTGAGCCTTGAACCGTTTTGCAGGTGTAATTTGTCAATCGAAAACCCTTCAACCAATCGGCGAATAGAGGGCGCTCACTCCCCACCCAGAGGGCGCTCCTTAAACGCCTGTCAGTGCAAACGGTCATAGCCGAAGGCAGGCGTCCGAACAGGTTTGTTTGATCAGATATAATGCAAGCGGATGCAGTGTACTAGACAGCTGCATTGAATGCTTGACTCCTGAGCTGTCTCGGCGACATCGTGCTTTTATGCATGGTCACAACATCTGTATTTGCAAACTGTTTCTAAAAAAAAACACACGGCGTGAACGTGTTTCCCGACTTTGCTGCGCATTTGCATGTGAAGTATTGTTCTGCCTGTCTGGTGAGGTGCAGTTACGTTGCTGCCATATCTGTTTCTTGCATTCCTAACGCGACTAGGTACCGGGATTTTTTTCTCGAGGAATTAGGCTAGAACATTTGCTCTTCGGCATCCTGACCATCAGCCTGTTTCTTTGTGTCGTTCGCTAAGCTGTCTTCCTCGTCATCTGTCACAGCACTATTCACAATATCTCTCGCCCTGCCTGTCACAGTGAGCTTGCCCATGGTTATACTGGTTATACCATGGTTATACATCGCGCCGTATGTCCACATTTCCTCCCGCCGTATGTCATCCGTCCTCTCACCATATGTCATCCGTCCTCTCACCATATGCCCCGTCTTGTCTGTGGATCGCCCGGTCGTGCTGACGCCGCCTTCCTCATTCACGTGTCCCCATCCGTCTGTTGTTCGCCCCCCCCCCCCCCGTCTTCCAAAAGAGCTCAGCCAAATGACAATTCATGAGGAGCTCAGACAGGCCGACCCTGGTTGACCTCAGTTGACCTCCGGTTACGCATTGGCGCTGATGACTGGGCGATGGAAGATGCATAATGTTCATTTTTCCATGACGTAGAGCTAAATGTCAGCACTATCGGGAAAACCCGTCCACTGTCCCCTTTCCCCTCCTCCGGTGGCTTCGTTTCGTCTTATGCGTTCTCCCTCTGCTCTCCCTCGCAGCTTTCTAACGTTCATCGTCATGCATGCGGTCATGGCGGCACTAAAAATGTAGATGTAGATCTGATGTAGATCTGATGTAGATGTAGATCTAAAAATGTAGATGTAGATCAGCCAATCGCACCCTCTAACCTCAGGCCCATCTGTCACCGGTGAGAGTCGACCGAGAAACGCATGCCAGGACACGAACTGAAGCAGCTGCGCCGAGCGGTCTTCCCAGGCGGTCAAACGGCGACGGTCAAACGGTCAAACAGACGGTCGATCTCCCGGTCATTATCCGGTCATCCGCAGGTCGCTGTTAAGTGACGAACTGAGAGTGACCGGACATTGTGACGGTAACTCCAGGAACCGGCCAGTGCCGAGCGGGCGGTCGGCGCCACTGGCCGGAGCAGCCGAACCGGGCGTAACCGGGCGTAACCGGACGTAACCAGACGTAACCGGGCGTAGCCGGACGTAACCAGACGTAGCCGGGCCTGAGAGCACAGACGCTGGTCCAGTGAGTTCCGCTGCCGGCCCTGGAGCGAATCTTTATTACAAACGGAGAAGGCAAGAACTCATTCTCCATTCACTTCGCATTCTTCGTTCATTCATTCTTCGCAAGAGAAGTGGAGCAAAGGTTGCAACAGCCTGAATGTCCTCAGAATAGGTATGTGCGCACGCCCACCACCCGTGCCAGATGTGTCACGGACAGTGGCGGCATGACAGGAGAACAGGACCTCAGCCAGCCTTGCTAGTCTTAGCCTCAGGGCACAATTGTGATCTGGAACGTGTTGAGTCACGCCGTGCAGGCCTAATAACTCTGAATGGCAAACACGCCTAATCAATATGAATCGTTCCTGCTCACCCTTCCCCTCCCCTCCCCCTTTTTCCATCATCATCATTCCCATTTCTGCCGCTGTCGCCGAGGGAGGAAGAGAGTGGAAGAGGAAAGGAAAAGAGCGGAGTGAGCGGGAAAGAAAATGAGCGCGAGCGAGAGTGAGAGGAGAGGGGAGGCGGCGAAAGAGCTACGCCGGGAGAAAGGAACTGGAAGGAGGAGGGAGGGACATAGGGAGGGAGTAAGGGGGAAGGAGACGGAAACGGAGACGGAGACGGAGACGGAGACGGAGACGGAGACGGAGACGGAGACGGAGACGGAGACGGAGACGGAGACGGAGACGGAGACGGAGACGGAGACGGAGACGGAGACGGAGACGGAGACGGAGACGGAGACGGAGAGAGAGAGAGAGAGAGAGAGCGGGAGCGGGAGCGGGAGCGGGACGGGAGCGGGAGCGGAGCGGGAGCGGGAGCGGGAGCAGCGGGAGCGGAGCGGAGCGGGAGCGGGAGCGGGAGCGGGAGCGGGAGCGGGAGCGGGAGCGGGAGCGGGAGCGGGAGCGGGAGCGGGAGCGGGAGCGGAGCGGGAGCGGGAGCGGGAGCGGGAGCGGGCGCGGAGCGGGAGCGGGAGCGGGAGCGGGAGCGGGAGCGGGAGCGGGAGCGGGAGCGGGAGCGGGAGCGGGAGCGGGAGCGGGAGCGGAGCGGGCGGGAGAGAGAGAGAGAGAGAGAGAGAGAGAGAAGAGAGAGAGAGAGAGAGAGAGAGAGAGAGAGAGAGGAGAGAGAGAGAGAGAGAGAGAGAGAGAGAGAGAGAGAGGAGATAGAGAGAGAGAGAGAGGAGAGAGAGAGAGAGAGAGAGAGAGAGAGAGAGAGAGGTGGGAAGGGCGTCAGACCCACAGCCACTTTGCTGCCCCGTATGGATGTATGCATGAGCTCGGTCACGGCTGGCGGCAGATGATGGATGTCGCCGCCACCTGTCCGGAGGCCTGGCCCGCCAGCTCTCGGCCCACGTCAGACTCCGCCGGGTCCCCACACGCCGCATCATGCAGGTCGGGAGCAGAGTGGCCCACAGGGCCCTGACCCAACGCGTCAGAGCGTCAGAGGTCAGGTCCGTTCGGTCACGTGGCGCCGGTCAGGAGTAGTGTGACCAGGGAGGTGATCCTGCGCAGCACGCCGTCCCAGCTAGAGCAGCTGGAGCAGCTGGAGCAGCGAGAGCAGTTCGGGCAGCGTTCGTCGCTGTAATCCGACACTTTGTTTTCGCCGTCGCAAGAAACAAATCCGCGTTGCTCGCAGAGGATTGGGTTTGACTTCCAAACTAAACTGGTCTTAGCTTGTTTTTTGCATTCTCGATGGTATTCAACGTGCAATATATGAATCACGAAGTAGCCCAATGTGACTAAAGCGTATTCCAATGTCATTAAAAGTTAGCATAATCTGCCCTGAAGTCCGCGATCGAAGGGACACCTCTCCTACGATAGACGGGCGCCAAAAAGTTAGAGCCTAAGAGATGAACCAGCAGGTTGAAATGTCTCGATGGGGCGTCATCGTATAAACTGTGGCCTTGAAGAACTGATGTAGACTATTGGGAGCAAGGAAAGGAACTTTCACGTTGGTTATTTCCGGTCGCTATGTCAACCCGTACGATGACTGCAAAGAGTAAACATGTGTGATGAAGGACTGACAAAGTGATTTTAGAGGAGCGTAACTTGCCTCTTTGTTCAAATGGGTATCTCGGGAGACCTGAACAAACCCACGTTATGATTTTTTTTGTAATTCGGGTAAGACAGTTGTTTAATCTTGTTCCGCTTGCGACTTAAGCCATAGCGAATTTGCAGCCTTCTACGCAAACACAGCTAAAACAAAACTCTCACCACACCACGCTCGTGTCTTTCGCTTGGTGCGATATACTGCATCATTCCCTGCGAAGCAGAGAGGGAATGTACCGGGTCATCCGTCTCCGCTGCGCTGTCGTGGCCCGACACCCGGAGGCTAGATGTTTTGGTTATTTACTGCTGCTATATCCGGTCACTTCGTGGCTGAAAAGATTTCAAATCCGCAGAATTTTTCTTTTGTAACTGGCAAGCATCGCGAATACATGTTTCGCCGTTTCCTGCGGCACAGGCGGAAAATACAGATGCCGTTAAACTGTCGCTGCCCAAATCAGTGATGCGGAAAACGTCCATCGCTGACACGGAAAGCACCGATCGTTTATACGAAAAGCGTCCAATGCTTACGCAATGGAAAACTGAGTACTTCTCCGGAGCATAAAAGCAACAACACACCCACCTGGCACCCCATTACCTATCGCTTTTTGTATATTTTAACCCATGACTAACGGTACGCCACAAATAAACGGACATCTACACCAACACAG